CGGACGAACGAAGTTTATGCGTTTGATGAAAAGAAGAGTTCGGTCTTGTTGATTTGTTGATTGCATAAAAATTTAAATTACTTGGACTGCTTCCTGATTTGATTTGTTTGTGAAATGGATTCTTATCAGAGAAAGAGAAGATATCAGGTTTGTCAGAAATTGTAAAGTTTCCCGAAAGTTTGAACACAACAACAAGTCTTATAAGACTTACGTAAGTTTATAAAATCAAGCTTACATGTATACGTTGGGTCTTAGGAAGAGCAGTCTTCGGATGATGATAATTACACACCGTATATTCCATTGAAAGAACGACGGAAAATGGAGGTAATAATGATAGCAGAAAGTTTGACTTGTATAAGCTTAATAAAAAAAAAATTATTTTGTTATCATCAGCTGGAGAAAAAAGAAAAACTCCTAAAAAAGAAATCAAATACAGTTGAGAAGGTTAAAGAGGTTGAGGTACAGTCATACCATTGAATTTATAAAACTTTATATATATTAAAAGGTCTTTCTTCTTGACAGAAACCTGAAAAGACCAAAGAAGAACTTATCATCTCTGCTCCAGTACCTAATGTTAGCCTGTTAGACCAACACAGTGAGCTTAAGAAAATTGCAGAAGGTATTTTTGTTTCTATCACAAAGGGCAATGGTTAATGTCCACATAAAGTGTGTTAGAGGAAGTCTTTTTTCAATGTCCACATAAAGTGTGTTAGAGGAAGTCTTTTTTCAATGTACACATAAAGTGTTAGAGGAAGTCTTTTTCAAGACTTATTTAAGCTAGCAGTTACATTTACATGTAGAAAAATGAATTGTATTTTGCCTGGTATAGAGAGATTGTTCAGTAATTTGTGTGTATTAATTGTAGCTGTAAAAGAATCCCATTATGATAAACAATTGAAAGAAGAAGAAAAGATCTTGGAAAGCATAGCAGAAAGGAAAGGTATTTATTTTGGTCACATATGATATACACCTAATCTCTAGGGGAGAAACAGGGATGCCAACTCTCCCGGATAATCCGGGAGTCCCAAGATTTTCGACCGTTTCTCCCGGTCTCAAGATTTTCCTGCTAAGTTTCCCGGATAATGACGATTCATATATCAGTTTTTTGAAATATCCCTTTTCATCTATTAAAACTCAAATTACTTGCATATTATTTTAGTTCTGAAAAAATACAAAAATCCCAGTCTTCTGATAACAATAACAGTGCACGCCATCCGCGGCCATTTTCAATTGCACAATACAATCTATAATGTGATTGGTTAAGATAAATCCAATCAAATCACTAGTTATAACGAAATTTGATAAATGCGATGACGTCATCGATAATGTTATGAAACGTCATTTCCGTTATGAGGTCATTATGTTCGTTCTCAAGATTTGAAAAGTTCGGGGGTTGACATCCCTGGAGAAAGAATATGTCATAAAAAAGGTGTTGGGATGAGGAAGTGTTCTGAGAGAGGACTGCACAATGTATATTAGGGATTCTGTTTGTCTAGAATGGGCTGAGTGYTAGAAGGTAAATTGTACTGGCTTGACTGTGTATTAGGAGAGAGCTGTTTTGAGAGGAATATGACTTGTGTTAGGATGCTGGAAYTATGATGAAAGGGGAGGATATTTTAGGAGGTTTTTAGGAAAAAAGTTGTGTTCAGAGGAACTAGTACATTGAAACTAAAATATATTATAATGAGCAATGAAGACCATRAATTTATTGTATTGTAATTATTTGATTGCAGCTCTAATGGCAGTTGGGGAGATTGCCAAAGGCATTGTATATACAGARTCCATAAAGACAGGGTGGGTTTGACGTAAAAATTTTATTATATAAGATATCACAGTGAATCACACTAAAACAGTAGACCTAGTAAACTTCTCATCCCCATAACATTATATTCTCTACCTGTAGTTGGACTCCACCCAGATACATAAAGAACATGCCAGAAGAAAAGTTTCATAAAATTAGGAAAAAATGGCATATCTTAGTAGAAGGATCAGACATTCCTCCACCCATAAAGACTTTCAAGGTATTTCAATGCAATACCTGATTTGGTTTGTATATTATWCAGTTTAAATCATACTAATGATTGGAAGCTTGCTCTCATTGAACGTATCACATTGCCAGTCCCATACCTTCCCACTATTCATGGAAGACTTTAGGATACTGTAGCATTTCAAGCCATTTGGACATTGTACATTATTTAAATTTATCACCATTAAAAATAAAGTAATTCAGATGAATTATTCTTTTGTCAGGAAATGAAATTCCCAAGGCCAATCATAAATGCATTAAAAAAGAAGGGTATTGTCCATCCTACACCTATCCAGATACAAGGGCTACCAGCAGTGTAAGTCTATCTTGTCATATTGAATATTGAAACTAAGTTGTCTATTGCTAAAATATCTTTCTGTTCTTGTTTTTATGTAGTCTAATGGGAAGAGATATGATTGGCATAGCATTTACTGGTTCTGGGAAGACCTTGGTTTTTACTCTACCAATTATAATGTTCTCTTTAGAGCAGGTATTTTAGCAGTGTGTTTGTTGTTTCCCTTCATTGAGCATATTAACACCTCAATCCTCCATAGCTGGTACTACACTAACCTGGTCATTTCACACAGTATATCTTTCTCCAGCAGTACAATTCTACTGAAGATGTACTTATAGTTTTATTCTCTTCACCCTTCCTTTCCCATCTTGCTYGTGGCCTACTTCCTGTCATTCTGTTTCATTATTCCTCCTTTCTACCATCTATTTCTTCCTTTGTTTCTTTTTCAGTTCATCCGTTTCTTTCCATGGCACCCTTCACTTCTTCCTTTTCTTTTTATTTCAATTTTTCGTATTCATTTCTCTTCTCATTTCTTTTTTGTCTTCCTTTTTAGTCTGCAACATTTGTTTTTCATTTCTTCCTGTTCACATTTCATAATTGCTGCTGTACAACATTTGACCTAAATTATTCAGAGGCTCCCTGTGTTTCTGATAACTCTAAAATTCAAACTTACTGTTAAATGGCTCTTTTAGGAAAAAGCTCTTCCTTTCCAAAGAAATGAGGGTCCTTTTGGTTTGATTGTGGTCCCATCGGTAGGTACATTTTTGTCACTGAATAGCAATCAATAGCTGGTATAAACATACTTTATTCTCACTTAATTCTTCCACCAAACATTATCATATTATGCAGTAAGCAGATTTAAAAACAACAAAGTTAAACCATTCTACAGTTAATACCCTTCATATAAATGCAGGTTATTGTCAATTACTAGGTTACCTGCAGCAGTAGTTATCTTAAATATGACTCCCTAATTTTATTATGTTTATATGTATATTTTTTAGAGAGAATTAGCCAGACAAACTTATGATGTCATTACATATTTAACAAGGGCTCTAGAAGCTGATGGTAAGGAGGAATTCTGGGAATGTAGAGTATAGTGAATAACATAGAATGTTATTGTCCATAGATACATGGATAGATTAATGTTATTGTCCATAGATACATGGATAAGGCTAGTCTCCTTTGCAGCCTCTCCTTTTGTTGGGCTTCCTGTCCCTCCCAAAAGAAGGGGAGGAAATTTGACAAAACCTGAGGTTGTGGCTGTTAGAGAGACAAGGCTAAGGMTTACCAATATAGATTTCTCTATAGAGCTGGTAAATAATGCCATCCATTCCCACTGGATTGACCTATTGTAGCTACTGTGCTTGTAGTTTTATTATTCTGTAATCTATTTTTTTAGGTTTTCCAACTCTAAGGACATCCCTGTGTATTGGAGGAAGCTCCATCAAAGATCAGACTGAAGCAATGAAAAGGTTTAATTTCTTTCCAAGAATTGCTTACTCGCTACATACTTATTGTGTATTTGGTTCTGTTTTGTATATTATAGAGGCGTGCATATGGTTGTAGCAACTCCTGGACGACTTATGGACTTGTTGGACAAAAAGATATTAACTCTTGATACATGCAGGTAAAAAACAACAGTACTTGTCTTACTTGAGCTAGTTGTACCATCAGTCATACCATAYCATATCATCCTCATCAATAAAAAATACAGTATTTATTAGTTATCTAGTTTATCAAACAGTTCACTCATTACAAAAAATATACACTTAAAATCCAAGAACTTGGTTAAATCACTGAATTCTTTAGTCTTTTTTTTTTCAGTTTATTTAGTGCATTGGATTATATGTGTATTTTCAGATATCTTGTTCTTGATGAGGCTGACCGYATGATTGACATGGGATTTGAGGAAGATGTGAGAACAATTTTTTCATACTTCAAGGTAAGAACTTATGATCTATTTGCCCATCAAGTAAAGTGATTTTTGCTGACTGGAAAATTATTGTAGATACTATGATACATGATTTTTGATTGCTATTTATATTGAAATATTATTTTTTGTAGTCCCAGCGTCAAACTCTGCTTTTCAGTGCCACCATGCCAAAAAAGATCCAAAACTTTGCCAAAAGTGCCTTAGTGTTGCCAGGTAAAATACCGGTATATCAATATTATGGTTACGATGTTTTCATTTCCCCCTTGTAAGCAGGACTCTTGATTTGACCTACCACACGGATGATACAATCATGTAGCTTTCCGTTTTATACTTTGAAGCAATCGAAATTTTAACAAGAGTAATATCAATAAATTCATCATAATTTTTGCAGTAACCGTAAATGTTGGGAGAGCTGGAGCAGCTAACTTAGATGTCATCCAGGTAAAATAACTTTGTGTGCTGTTCATTGTTAACCTTGATTGTATTTACATATAACTGTACAAATCCATAGGAAGTGGAGTACGTAAAACAAGAAGCCAAGATTGTCTACCTATTAGAGTGTCTTCAGAAAACACCACCACCGGTATGCTTTCATTTGATTATAAGTTATAGATGGATCAGACTGCATGGATCATACGGTATGAATCACACGGTACAGACATTTAACCTCTGTTATCTTGACGCTATAGAAAACATTGCATTTAGTACGAGTACAGTACAGTAAATAAATAAATTAACTCTTTCGTTTTGAGAGGGTAGCACATGATAGCCTCTAGACTAATAAACGTGTGGCCCTCTATATATATTCACTCACACCCACTATCTCTACATTCATTATTTTACCACACAACACTCCTCACAGCTAGTTTTTGACGGAAAGAGGAAAACCAGCGGACCTGGAGATAATCCCTSGGAAAAAGGGAGAGAACCAGCTTACAAACTCACGGGGAATCGAACCAGGACCACAGCGGTGATAGACCGGCGTTTTAACATCCTTGCTCCCCAGTACAGCAAGTACAACGCCTCGATTTACTTTTTGGACGTTCATGTGAAATCTGCTGAGATCCGCCCATCGTAGCTGGAGCGTGTTTTTTGCTTGTTATTATAATGTGTTGATCTTATTTATTTGTTAATATCAGGTATTAATTTTTGCGGAAAAGAAAAAAGACGTCGATGATATTCATGAGTACTTACTACTCAAAGGAGTCGAAGCAGTAGCTATCCATGGTGATAAAGGTATTTAATCCATCTATTTACCACAGTGTATGTTATTCATACGTCCTTTCATTTCAATCCTCATTCGATCATGTCAGGTCTTATGTTCACTCTGCAAACTGATCTTTTTGTCACCCAGAGAGAGAAAAATAATCGGATGTCGGCAGAGCCATTTTGTCTTTCGCTTTTGGCGGGGGAAACAAATGGGTCTSTTCGCAGAGCATCTTTTCGACATGTATGTTAGCATCTGTTAGCAAGTTTTTTGCCATCCATTCTCTCTATCTCTTCCCATCATTCACCATTTATTTATGTTATTCATTATTTGTTGAGCTTACTTCCTATAAGATATATACTATAACGCGAGTATACTACAATAGTTTGTTTTGTTCTTGTATAGATCAAGAGGAGCGTGTGCATGCCGTGCAGGGCTTTCGTCAAGCCGTTAAAGACGTACTGGTAGCTACAGATATAGCTTCCAAAGGTCTTGACTTTCCTGATGTTCAGCATGTTGTCAACTTTGATATGCCTGAAGATATTGAAAATTACGGTATGTGTTATAGTTGTCAAAACGACACTACTTTAATATGGTCCCCAGCACTACATAAATGATCACGTGGGAAATTGTGTCATATCAACAAATACAGTGGAGCCTGCCTTGACAACCAGCCGCTTAATACGGCAACCCTGTTATAACGCCCGGAATGTTATGTCACAACGTAGTAACACTTTTCCACCCGGTTGATACGGGCACGTCGTTAATGCTTTTCTATGTCCATTCAGTGGCCGGAATAACGGGGTTTTAGTGCATATACTGACCTCTTCGATGTACCCTTTAACACCAAGTGATAATTTGTATAGTCCACAGGATTGGAAGAACAGGCAGATGTGGCAAGACAGGAATTGCTACTACTTTTATCAACAAGTCTTGTGGTGAGTCGACAACATTAAACACATTTTTCAATATATTTCTTTTTTATTGTATATTTTTGTTGTTACTTTGATTCGGCAGAGTTTTGTTTTGTTTGTTTGTTTATTTCTTTTTTATATTTTCTTTGGCTTGTTGGCTGAAATGGAACGCTCATAGGAATACCAGCTAGAAAGGGAAAAYTACATCAAATTATATCAGTATAATTGTTACATTATCTAACTTTCAGACGAGTCAGTGCTACTTGATCTCAAGCATTTGTTACTTGAGGCAAAGCAGAAGATACCACCTGTACTTGCAGCATTACAAGCCGACAACGAAGAATACTTAGAGCTTGGAGGTATGGAGGTTACTGACAGTTTATATTGTTAGATGTTCAAAAATAAACATTTTCCATATTCATTTCAGACGAACGTGGTTGTGCATACTGTGGAGGTCTTGGTCATCGTATCACAGAGTGTCCAAAACTAGAAGCCATGCAATCAAAACAAGCTGGAAACATTGGAAGACGGGACTATTTGGCCCATGGCTCAGCAGACTGGTAGAGGGTACTTTCACGAATGCCACTTATGCTGCACTCAGTCACAATGAATCATGGCAGTATTTAAATGACATTTTCTCAGACCTTTTATGAGAGACCACTTCACAATGTGTAAGGTCGACACATTGCCCTGAAATTAGTATCTTTCATGTGGCCCATTGGAAATGACAATTCGCAAAACATAGTTCTACTATATAACCTTATAGTGCTAAATCATGGTCAGCGAAAAGAAACCATTAACAGACGCTCTGCATACTTCATAAGAAAGACCGTGAATTGTGTCAATAATGTACAGCAACACTATGAGTTGTAAATATGAATACCYAAAATAAAACGAACTTCCTGTAATTATCTGGTTGATACTGGTATAAAAGCCAAGTTTCGTTTTTGTGACGAAAGGCCTTATTGGGCCTGTCGTCACTAYGATACCGTGTTGAGTGACCGAATTGTAACCATCCACTTGTAGCAGGCGTTCCTTGCGACTCCTTGATATCTTTTAAAAAGTTGAAAAGAGAAAATCCCTAAAGAACAACAAACAAAGTAACAACAGCAAAGAAAAAGAAGAAAAGAAAAAGAAAGAAGAAAAGAAAACAAGAAACAAGCAAAAAAGAGAAATTCCACCAGCACAGGACTCGAACTCGGGACTTTCACTTGAGTGGTAAATGCACCCCCCGGACATGTATAAGAAATAATTTTTTAAAAAAACTAAAAAGATGGGACGATTCCCCCGAGACATTCTAAGAAGCTGAGGCGTCGAATCGGCTTACGTTGCGGTTAGAGATTTCGGCTCTTCCACGCTATCCCTAGTGAACATAAAACTTAGTCTTAACCAAAAGGCCAGGGAGTGAGGGGGTAGCCGCCCACTAGAGCATACCTTTAGCTACCCTCTTAGACCATCGTACTATGAAGACACTTATAGATATCTGATATCTAATGGGGGTAGTCTATTCGGTGAAGTTCTATGCTAATATATGACGTCACCAAAATCCTTAGGGGCCAGCGAGCCAATCAGAACTCAGCTCATGGATTAGCAAACTGAATCATTCTTCAGTGGATTCATTATTTGATGGGGGTGGGGATGGGTGTTGAGTGCTGGTTTGCGGCCAATACTGACTCGATGAAATGTGACGGCCTTCACCGAGCTGTTCAATTGTCGTTATTGTTTTCCAAATCAATACAGGAAAAGGTGTTCTTATATCAGACATTGCTAGTATTCGTAAGTGCCTTTACAGACCAGGCAGATAATAGCGTCAATAGCTGTTGCTGAACTATTTGCCGAGTTCAACATTACACTCGAACATGTAAACCGATTTTATCGAAGAGAATTCGAGAATTTATCATGAGTTTATAAGTAAACAGATACAGAAAGATGTCTTTGACTACAGCTAAATTAAAGCTTTAAGGAACCCATATTGTGGATAAAAATTCTTTTTCAACCCGAATTTTTCAGGCGGACATGTTCTACTGTAGGCAGGAAAACAGAGCGCCCCGCGTCAGTCCCCCACGGGAGAATCAACTACTGCATCACAATAGTTCCTTGGCCCCTGGGAATCGCCATTTGGTGTATTTATAGGCAAAGTAATGGTTGATCGCCACTTGATGCCTTCAATTCCTTGCAGCGTATACAGCTAATTCAGAAAACGTTGAATAATACAGAAGAGTAAAATGCATTGTGGGTCTTTTCTATCAGTTCAAAGGGAATTTTCATGGTTTTAGATTGACTATACCAGATCCGTGTTGTGGTCAAAAACTTCAACGTACGGAAAGCAATTATATTGCCATTTTGTAACCCGGCTAACTCGATGTTTATTAAATCTCTGGCCTGAGCCGGTCACATGCCAACATGCAGTTCTCTACTGCCTATTTCTTTATTCATTCTAATACCGTAAACATATCATGGAGAGCATGCAGAAACGCCATTTGAGGGAAGTTCGAGGTAATACAGTGAATCACTGTAAACCCGCCAAGAACCCAAGACTAAAGACAATATAAAACACAACATTGAGTGAGATCTCAAACCCGTGAAACAAAATTGACTATTAAAGTGTGAAAGTGAAATAGACAAGAAAACAATGCAATCAGGGCGTACCAAGGTGTATTTAGTGTAACATCTATTTCACAGATTTTTTGGCTTCACTCGTTTTACACAAAAGTACATTTAAGAGTATAATTTCAACTATTTTATTGGTACTAAACAACGACAAAGGCTGTGTAGTTGATTAGGCTGTGTAGTTGATCAGGGTGTAGTTTTCATGAAGCAACTATATTACAAGCTTGATATGAGTGATAACAGTTAACGCGTGATTTTAAAAAATTGTGAAACAAAGTGCAATAACTAAAGTGCAATGATTTAAGAAAAACCAAAATACAAAGGAAAGAGAGAAAAAGTGTCAATAAGCTAAAATATTTAACGAGTTGAGAACAAAAGTGGCACCATAGTGTTGGAAAGACTAAAACAAATATGGTGACCGGCTTGGTGGACTCGAACTCAAGCTTAATAACCAAAGGTAGACAACCAAGGTGTGATAGACACTATAGAAAACAATTGAAAGGCCTTACTGTAGTGTATTGGTTTATATGCAAACGTTAATTTAAAGCCATAAAAATCATGGACACCGCATCAGCTGCAAAACTCAATCACATAAATGATCATTAATGTTGATAACATTTGTTTTACGTTCCATAGAAAATTTGTTAACATATATTATTGCCAACTTGAGTGTTATCTAATCACCAGGATATTATTCATGGTAGACATGTTTATTGTAGAGGGATGGTGCTTCAATTTACTCTTATACGCACACAATTATCCGCAGCTTGAGCAGTATTTTGCATTRTTAGCGTTCATTTTTCCATATTTTGGTCAATGAGATCATCAGTTGAATTGTATTTCAAAATCAACGCCGATGTAATTGATCGTTGAATGACTGATCGGAAGCTCTTCCATGCTATATTTCATACTAGAGATGATTATCGTCTAGAATTGCAGTTCATCAAGCTTGTACGCTGTTTGACTGTGTTACATCTTCCTCATTATCTGCATTGATCACAAGAACACGTCCTGCAATCAAAATACACCTGTTGATTCAGAATCCAGTGTCTTCAGTATCAATAACACAAAAAAACTCATGACAAACCTGATCCCGTGACGTCATTTAGCAACAGCTCATCATCACTATCTTCCATAGTAGCGATGTCTGATGCAGGCACGTGATATGATACCGCTTCATCAACCATATTAACACCAAGACTTTCCTGGCTGGTACGATTCATTGAGACAAATCCATCCCCTCCATTCATGGACAGACGGTGATATCTGGTGTAAAACCATCTGTACCGCCTAAAGTACGGAAAAGACATCAAAACAAGCTAATCCTGGGGCAAAAAACACGAATTTCGCTATAATATTCTTAGTTACGTGCGTGGGTAAGATGCGGGCGAACTGCACAAACAACACCGAATACCATCAACCGAACACTTGCAACAAGTCGGACTCTTTTTGAACTTTGTGAAAGTCTACATTAGGTATTCTTGCTTACAGTTTGGCTACCTAGTTTGATGGCAGTGTTGGATTTGGCTACCTAGTTTGATGGTGGTGTTGGATTTGGCTACCTAGTTTGATGGTGGTGTTGGATTTGGCTACCTAGTTTGATGGCAGTGTTGGAATTGGCTACCTAGTTTGATGGTGGTGTTGGATTTGGCTACCTAGTTTGATGG